CTTTGCAAATTTGAATTGTTGTATTTGTCCAGCGTTAAATTCAAAGTCACAATGCCCTCGGAGCCCGACATCATTTCCATCACTTAAAAACTTTGGTTCTGTCATGTTGCTACTAAATTAATATTACCATTTGATTATATTCTAAACAAACTACTAAAACAACACATTACCTGTAAACAATACAATTCTCCTTTTTGTCACTAACAATTGTCATGCACAATAAATACCATTGTATCATTCAAAATAATGGAACGCGATAAAAAATCATATGAAAATGTGTGGCTGCTCGGGCTTATCCTGTCAATCCTGCCAAACACCATCTTTCGATGTCCACCTTGAATGACTTTCTGTTGGAGAGTATTGATCACGTTGTGTTAGGAATTCTTATAGAAATAAAATACTCTCGTGCTTAAAATAAATTTATTATAAGGACGTCTTATTGGAATAAATAGAAAAGCAACACTTTTCAAAAATAATAAAGCAATGCCAGTTTATTTTGAACGTTGTTCTTTTAAAACATATAGGGTAACAATTACTTTAAAAGGACTAAATATTAGATATCCGATAAAATAGTATTCGCTTTATTTCGAATGCTTTAATTTTTATTATGTATATAAAACAATATTATATGATCAGCAATCGTTTATGAAACAAATAATTAGGTAAATCGAATTCCATAGAACGAGTTTATTATTTTAACGTGATTTATTGTGCTTTTTACAACGCATTATTTTTCTGAGTGTAGATATAAATATTCTTAGTATAAAACGGTATTACTTGCCAAATTACTTAGTTCTTCATGTCCACGAAAATTCCCTTGTAAGTGTAAGGTGTAAACCAAACCAAACGGCCGTATTTTTTTACGTTAATTTAAATTAATTATTATAATTAATTAGTGCTTTTATTTTGCTGTTGTAACACCAAAGGTTCCAACCCCCAATTGTAATTTGATTATCGCCAACTTAACTATGCATAATTTGTCATACTATGATCCTATGTCTCTTACGTTAAAAGTATATAACCGGATGGTCGTGACTTAATTTCGAGTATCTCTAGATTTTATGCATCCGAATTTTGGACGTTTCTTACGAGAAAGTTACTTCATAATATTTAAAAACTTTAAAGCAAAGTCTAGCATGCGTGGCTATATAAAAATCTTATGTGTGTAGGTATAATATGTTAGATCAAAATGTCCGAAATTCGAAAAATCGTGAATTTTTTTTTAACTTCTACGAATTTTATGACGCCACATTGTTTTTTTCGCAGAAAACGTCCGAGATATGGATGCATATAAACTAGCCCTAATTTGGCATTACAAAATATGAGCGCTCCCTCTTCAAATTTCCAATGTTTTGTTTATAACTTTACGAAAACCAAGCAGGAATTAAGAAAAAAATTAAGCTATAGTTGTATTTAAATATATATTTTTGGAAGTTCGCTTAATAAAATATAGAATTGTGTTATAGATATGTATTTATATTAAGTATTAATATGTTTTATGGTTATATTATATTATTATAGGCTATAGTAATACTTATTATAGGTAATTATGGTAGTGGTCAAGTATTCAGATTTAAAACAGATATTCCTATTTAATTAAAATAATCTTATATACAGGGAGTCCTAAATAAGTGCAAATATTTTTAGGGAAAGTATATTTCGCCAGAAACACGTCTATGAGGGTTTTTTTTTCGCAAAAATACATTAATATTTTTTTTATTTTTATTTAAAAGCATGATATCTGCATAATATGGCAATATACGTAATAGATTTTTAACAAGATTCTACTACAGATCTACCTTAGATTCTACAAGATCTACCAGCCCTGAAAATATTTGCACTTACTTAAGACTCACCCTGTATAATATAATAATAATAAAATAATACTTAATTTATTTTATCTATATATATATTATTTATAAACTTTTATTATTTGCGTTATTTCTATTATACAAGGTGGGCAACTGAAAACTTACAATAGCTTTAATTTTTAAACCAAAAAAGATATCAAAAAAATAAAAAATATCGTTTCTATAATATCGAGGGGAATACATATGACGTATTTTTTGAACCACCTCGGCCTACCCCTTAGGAGGCACCCCTACTCACTTGAAAATCTTAAATGGCAACACCCCACTTGTGGCGTCTTTTTGGAAAGCTCATGAAAAATGCTAAATGATGATCATAAAGTTTTTAGGGTGAAATTGAAAAACTACCCTTACACGAACAATTAGGTGGACATTAATGAAAAAGGTGATTTTTTCAGCATAAGTTACAAATTGGGACCCAGCTAAATGACGCAAATGAAGTATTTTTCAAACCACCCCAACCCACCCTTAGGTGGCACCCCCTCACTTCTAATCTCAAGATAGCGATACCCCACTTGTGACACTTCTATGGAAAGCTAATTGAAATTGCTAAACGATGGTCATACAGACTTCAACTTAATTACTGGTTAGTGACAAGAAATGTAGGTGTGACAATTTGAAAGAAATTTAAAATAATAATTTATTTTAATAATTGCTCAAAATGACAGCCGTTTTGTTCCATACAACAATACAAACGATTTTCAAATTCTTCTCTCACTTTTTGGAAAGTCTCTCTCGGAATATTTCGACATGCTTCAGTTCTCCTCTGCCGCAATTCTTGCAACTAACCTGGTTTTCTCTTGTAGACTATGGATTTAGTGTAACCCCACAAGGAAAAGTCTAAAGGAGTGAGATCAGGTGACCTTGGCGGCCACTCGATTAGACCACTTCTGCCAATCCATTGCCGTGGATAATATTTATCCAACCACCGCCTTGTGACAATAGTATTCTATTGTCACATGCGAAGGGGCTCCATCTTGCTGAAAGTGTATGAGGTCTTCATTAAAAGTTATAATAAATTTCTTTGTACCAGCTTTTTTTTCTCGCAATGGTTCATGGATACAAAAATAATTCATTCTATTGATTTCGACACGTTTTGACATTTTGTTTTATTTTTAGGCTCTATTTTTTTCGTTCTTTTTTTTGACAGTCGTTCAGCATTTTTTATACGCTTTCAAAAGAGGTGTCACAAGTGTGGTATCACATTGGTGTCACAAGTGTGGTATATACAAGCTATCTTGAGGTTAGAAGGGAGGGGGTGGCACCTAGGGGTGGGTCGGGGTACTTTGAATAAAACCTCATTTAGCTGGGTCCCAATTTGTAACTTATGCTGAAAAAATCACTTTTCTCATTAATGTCCACCTAATTTTTTCTGTAAGGGGTAGTTTTTCAATTTCACCCTAAAAACTTTATGATCATCGTTTAGCATTTTTCATGGGCTTTCCAAAAAAGCGCCACAAGTGGGGTGTTGCCATTTAAAATTTTCAAGTGAGTAGTGGTGCCGCCTTAGGGGTAGGTAGGTCGGGGTGGTTCAAAAATTACGTCATATGTATTCCCCCTCGATATTATAGAAAAGGTATTTTTTTGATATCTTTTTTGGTTTAAAAATTATAGCCATTGTAAGTTTTCAGTGGCCCACCCTGTATATCAGTAATACAAGTTGTAAAGAATGAACAAAATTTGTAAAAATCGAAGCTAAAATATAATCCTCAATAATGCTTTCTACTAACTAATTACTTATACGTTACTTTGTATTAAAGAACATGTCTATTTTAAGTATTTAGCATATGACGTAAAATCGAAACAAACACTTCATTATTTCAGTGACAAATTATTTCTAAACATGGGAAATTAAAGTGGTTATGTAATATTTACCGCATAATAACGAGGTTTCGTACCTATAAATGTCATATTAAAATAACTATAATGACACTCCCTACTGTAAAATTACAATTTAAATTACCTTACTCGAATAGCTATATTCTAGAAATTACCGGCATGCGACATATTCTAAATTTAAAAGTGTATTAATATAAATGTCGCCATTTAATAAAAGGTTTTACATCAAACCAAACAGAATTTAAAATTAATTTCTGTCGAAAACAAATGCTGTTAGGGGCGTAGTTTTCAATTCATATCTGAACTTTTCAAAAAATATTGGTATATCCCACTCTTTTTGCTGTGCACACTTTTCTATGTTGAAAGTTGGCGAAACTAGAAAAAGTTTTTCAATTAAGCTTTTCTTCGATTGATATTTTTCTGAAATTCAATCATTAAAGGAAAGTCTATATCTGACACAAAGGAAGAAGTTTTATGCGACATATTAAGTTTAATCCATATTTTACCAAGGCAATATAAACAGAATTTTTATGTATTACAACGTTTATTGTGTAATAAAATAGGTCTAAGAAAAATATTATAACACAAAAAAATATTATATTCAAAAACTAGCAAAAAAATGATGTTGAGAAAACGCATTATTGGCTAAATACACGATAAAAAACTGCGTCCAACCGCCGCGTCCAGCCGCCGCGTCCTGCGACCGCGTCCAGCGACCGCGTCCAGCGACCGCGTCCAGCGACCGCGTCCAGCGACCGCGTCCAGCGACCGCGTCCAGCGACCGCGTCCAGCGACCGCGTCCAGCGACCGCGTCCAGCGACCGCGTCCAGCGACCGCGTCCAGCGACCGCGTCCAGCGACCGCGTCCAGCGACCGCGTCCAGCGACCGCGTCCAGCGACGCGACCGCGTCCAGCGACCGCGTCCAGCGACCGCGTCCAGCGACCGCGTCCAGCGACCGCGTCCAGCGACCGCGTCCAGCGACCGCGTCCAGCGACCGCGTCCAGCGACCGCGTCCAGCGACCGCGTCCAGCGACCGCGTCCAGCGACCGCGTCCAGCGACCGCGTGCTGCGACCGCGTGCTGCGACCGCGTGCTGCGACCGCGTCCAGCGGCCGCGTGCTGCGTCCATCAAGGGCATTAAAAAAACCATCAAGGGCACAAAAACACATTATAAAAAAACATCGCTAAATAAAATTAAATATCGTGGAACTTTGTACAGATTGTCCCATTTTATTGTGTTTTACAGGATTTATAGTTTATGAGCAGCGGTACAAAGATACGGTTTTCACAGTTGCTACTTGTTTATGAAACTGAAGATGGTTTGGTTTGGTTCCAGCCGCCGCGTCCAGCAGTCGCGTTCAGCCGTCGCCTCCAGCCGTCGCCTCCAGCCGACGCGCCCAGCCGTCGCGTCCAGCCGTCGCCTCCAGCCGTCGCGTCCAGCCGTCGTGTCCAGACGTCGCGTCCAGCCGTCTCGTCCAGCCGTCGCGTCCAGCCGTCGCGTCCAGCCGTCGCGTCCAGCCTTCGCGTCCAGCCTTCGCGTCCAACCGTCGGGTCCAGCCGTCGCGTCCAGCCGTCGCGTCCAGCCGTCGCGTCCAGCCGTCGCGTCCAGCCGTCGCGTCCAGCCGTCGCGTCCAGCCGTCGCGTCCATCCGTCGCGTCCATCCGTCGCGTCCAGCCGTCGCGTCCAACCGTCGCGTCCAACCGTCGCGTCCAGCCGTCGGGTCCAGCCGTCGTGTCCAACCGCCGCGTCCGACCATCGCGTCAATCAAGGGCATAAAAAACGCATCAAGGGCATAAAAACATATTATATAAAAACATCACTAAATAAAATTAAATTTCGTGGTACTTTGTACAGATTGTCCCATATTTGTGTGTTTACAGGATTTCTAGTTTATGAGCAGCGGTACAAAGATACGGTTTTCATAGTTGCTACTTGTTTATGAAACTATCCGCGCCCAGCCGCCGCGTCCAGCCGTCGCGTCCTGACGTTTATGAATAATACTACCTACCACAAGGTAAATTAACTAATTAAGAACCTTAAAAGTGTACCAAGGAAGTTAGCTGAAAAAAAGTTAGGGTAGAACCTTGAAAATAACGATTTATTCTAAAATTAATTATTGTTGAAAATACATAAAATTTTAATGGCGCATAATTTTTAGGGCCTATCATATTTACATCTCACAGAAAAATTTTCTCCGCAGACATAATTATCTTGGGAATCCAGTAATCCACTTCCTACCAATAACTTATTTACATTTACTAGGAAACGCATATACATATGTAGGTATTTCCTACTTTATCTATAGTATTTCCATATTGGATGTTCAAACGGTCATACAAATTATTGCACTTGTTTGTCTTCCTGGTTCATTATTTCGAAATTCATTTACATATACATATTAAAAAGAAAAATACTTTACCTTATTTTTTTTCTGTCTTTCCCATGGTAAAATGTAGGTAGTACAAATTAGGACTACTTTTAGTAAAATTCACCTCTATTTTACCATGTTATGACCTCAGGTCGGTTATTTTTGATTTCATAGCCCATATTTCATACAAGACATTATAACCTGTTAACCTGTTTTTAACTTCCAAATTACTTTAGTTTTATTCCCCACTTTGGGAATTTGAACGTCAATTTTAGGAAATTTCGATCAATTCACAGTTGGTCAATAATAGTCCAGGTGGTTAATTTAACGTAATTTTACCTTCAAATGTTTGTTGGCAAAGAACCGCGGTTCGGATTCCGCGTAAACAAAGTAGGCCCTACTTAGATTAGTCGTAGCAAGAAAAAGGAGGCTTTACACTTTAAACGATGTATTTTACTGTTTTATCAACTCTATCAACTTCTCTCTGAATGTAATTAATATAAGTTTTTGTTACTTAAAAGCAAAGAGTTGTACAATTTTGGACTGAGCGTCTATCGTGTCAGCAATTAACCAAACAATAAAACACCAATAAACCTCGCTTATATTTTCAAAAAAAAATTATTGAACAACCCTTAAATTTACTGTAAACACTTTTTAAACTTTTCCATATGTAACACTTTCTTTACATTTTCATATTTCATATTTCACTCCTTACTTTTCCTTACTTAAACGGAACATATGTTTAAAAAAACGGAACTGCCACGAAGTAGTTTGAAATGCGAGGTAATGGGACTAAAACTTCGAAGTGCACTAAGTAGAAAGACTGTCGAGTTCAGGGCAGAAGTTTTAACAAACTCCCGCGAATTCTCGCCGAATATTAGCTTGGTCGGTTGGCTTTTAGCGAGCGCTGCTCTGGCTCAAATTTCGTCTTGAACGTAATGTATGTTACAGAAGCTATTTGTGGAAAGTGAACCGCTTAAACAGTAATCTAATTTCTAGCGTAAGGAGAATAATATCATATATTCAATGTTTATTTGTCATATAATCCGTTAGGAAATACGTAATAGGATATATATGTCTTGAGAAGATAGTAAGTGTCTTAATGTTTAGTTTCACCGCTTCTTTAAATAGATAGATATATTTGCCATAACAGTTGATCTTAACCTGTATTACGGGAAATTACAAGACCGTGACTATCTCAGGATATTATTTACATGAAGTTTGATAACATTTATTATACATTTATTATACAGTAGCATAGGAAGGAGAAAAAACCATTGACCACGGAAAATTAACCACTATTTGGTTGAATTTTACTTATATTTAACTTAATAAATTTCTTGTAGGGAATAAGGTGCGAGAAATCTAAAAATGAGGTCGTAAACTAGTTAATAATAACCTAGAATTATGCCTTTGAAAAGTAGCAACGTTGGAGTTAGCTGGCATTGTTAAAATCTAGTTACTGATGACCTATTGAGGGAATTAAGACTACAGGGACTTAAAGTAGGTCAAATGTTACTTTATTATAACCTCAAATTTGTCTCGGGGGTCGAAAGCATTGTTTGGTTTTCAAGTTAGGTTAAAATTTAGTTGTTAATAACTTTAAATGGGACCTTATTTGAAGGAGTTCAAATTAGGTTGGAAATTTAATTTATTTCGACCTCATAAGTCGCTATTATACTTCAAAGGTAAAAGTAACTTTGTTTTTTGAGTTGGAAGAAAATCAGATATACGGCAGGTTAAAAATTACCTTTTTTTATTTCCTCGGGGTGATTTCCGTTTAAAATAATTTTCGAGGGATTATTACGTCTCAGCACATTACCTTGTTCCCAGTGGTGGGGATCGAAAGAATATTCAATGCGTTTCTTTTTTATTACCGACGCAATCTTAAACGTGTCCATTATGTGCAATAAAACAAAAAGTCCTCTGTAATAACACTCACAATCCCAAAACACAAAACTTTTACAAATAATAAGTAAAGAAAACTAGTTTGGTTTTCTAGTCAGTTAGTGTTCTAGTTTAGGCCAGTTCCGTAATTGCATCGGCTAGCAAAAGGATAAAAATTTGACATATCACGTGACTCTCAATAAATATTCTTATTTTAGGACACATAATTACTATGAAAAGTTAATCGGATTGCTCGAAGATGTACCGAACTTAGCATAACATATCATTGTCAACTGTCACTCAAAGAAAATATAAGTTTTCTGTTTTACCGGCTATACTTCAAAAGTCAGGCCTTCGAGAAATGAGCTTCGACCTATTATAGCCCATTTTTTAACTTGCACCTCGAAGGAAAAATACCTTAACCAAGATATCTTGACCTTTGAGGATATTTTTTTAAGGCCTATCATATCTACATCTCACAGAAAAATTTTCTCCGCAGACATAATTATCTTGCGAATCCAGTAATCCACTTCTTACCAATAACTAATTTACATTTACTAGGAAGTGTTATTTCTACACTTGTTATTACTACACTTGTTTGTCTTCCTGGTTTATTATTGGGAAATTCATTTACATACACATATTAAAAAGAAAAATACTTTACCTAATTCTTTCTCTTTCTTTCCCATGTTAAAATGTAGGTAGTATAAATTAGGACTATTTTTAATAAAATTTACCTCTATTTTACCATGTTATGACCTCAGGTCGGTTATTTTTGATTTCATAACCCATATACATACACATACAAGACATTATAACCTGTTAACATGTTTTTAACTTCCAAATTACTTTAGTTTTATTCCCCACTTTGGGAATTTTAACGTCAATTCTTGGAAATTTCGACCAATTTCCAGTTGGTCAATAATAGTCCAGGTGGTTAATTTAACGTAATTTTAACAGTTGGGACCCAACAAACATTTCAATGTTTGTTGGGTCCAAACTGTACTCTGGAAATTTCGGCAGCATATTCTGCAGATAAAAATAAGCAAAAAAAGTTTGTATAAATATATGTTCAAAAATGCTTAGTTTTGGAGACACCTGCAGGGTGAAGAAGTGTCATTTTTATTTCGAATTTTTCCAAATAATTTCTGAAGTAACGTCAATATTTGGATGAAAATTGGTATCTGGGAGTTTTTTCACATGAGAAATTTGATTTTGATGCCAATATGACTCCTATTTGTAGGGGGGCGTCACTTACATGTATTTTAACTGTTTTGAAGAGTAATAACTTTTCGTCTATACCGGTTTAAAACTACTGAGTCAAAAAATATACATTTCCATGATTTTCAACCTAAAAAATGTCTCTTGGTAAAAAAATCGCTACGAGCAACCGTTCTCAAGTTATTTAGAATGGAAACAGTCCATACATGTCATTATTGACAAAAAATAAACATGTGAGTAGATAGTTATTTGACTAAAAAGATAAATTTAGTAAATTTTTATTTTTTTTAAATTAAGCATAAATGTTTCTTCTAAAAAATGATGATACAACAGTTTCTGTTGAACCTTTGTCACATGTTTAATTTATGTCAATGATGACAGGTACTGATAATTTCGATTGAATATATCTCCAAAACCATTACTCCTAGCGATTTTTTCCAAGAGACTTCTTTTACGTAAAAAACGTCATAAATCTATAGCTTTTTACTTAGTACTTTTATACAGGTACGGACGAAAAGTTATTACTCTTAAAACCAGATAAAAAATATGTAGGTGGCGCCCTCTGCATGTAGGAGTTATATTAGCATCAAAATCAAATTTATCATATCAAAATACTCCCAGACACTAAATATTGACGTTACTTCACAAATTATTTGGAAAAAATCGACACTTCAACACCTTATACAGGGTGGCGCCTCTCATACGCCGCGGAAGCTCCAAGGAGAACGGTTGTTTATATCGAAATGAAATGTTGGCAGCGTATGTAGGTTAACTGAAAGCATTTTATAAAAATATATAGAATTATACAGGGTGTCCCAAAAAAAGTTACACATCAAAGTTGTGTTTTTTCTAATGGAACACCCTATATATTAATTGATTTTCGGATTCTAGGAAAAAAATAAAAGTGAGTTTTATTAAAGAAGCATATATCTAAAATCTAAGGATTTTGACATATTTCACATTTTGTGAAAATAAATAGTAAATTTTAAATTTCGATAACAGCTACCAAAATTTTAGTTGACCTTGTATAGCCTGATATTTAATTACAGTTACCATTGTATGTTAAACCAAATTGAAATTTAACCCGAAAAGATATACAGGGTGAGACAAAATTAATATGGAACATTAGTACTTTTAAAAGCAAGTTACTCCTTTATTTTAAATGGAACACTAAGTTTATTTTTCCGGTGTTCAATGGGGAATTTATATATCTTCAAAAAATTATTAAGGTTGCCTACCCCTCAGACAAAGATTTTCCCAGATACTTTAATTTTTATGAT